AGCGCTCGCTCTCTTTCCCACGCTCTTCATGTCACTAACCCACAGAGCTTCTTCTGTCCCCCTCCAGGGGCTCGTCTCCAAATTCTGACCCTCAGAAAGCCCCCTACACTGGTGATGGGGGGGGGGGGTTCTGTCCATCGCAGTCCCATGTGGGAAGGGGATGTCTCCATCCCTCCAGCCCAAGGGGTCTTGAGCTGGAGGGGTTTTGCAGAGGTGTCAGGTGGTCACAAACACTTATCCTTCCTGTTGCGCTAAAAGGAAGTGGTCCCTGTGTAGAAAAGCCTGAGAATCACTGTGCTAGCCCAGAGGGCTCCCTCTGGTCCACACTGGAAGAAAGCTGTCCCCAGAGCTGATTTTCAGGACCGGTATCCACCTAGTTTGGGGTGTGGCACCCAGACTGAGCTGGTTGGATGGGCTGATTTGGTGGATTCGGGGGGAGGGTAGATGGGAACACGTGGTGTGCTTGCTTCCATTCTGTCCTCACAACATCTCTGCAGAGAACCCTGCTTTGTCCCGGATCTGGAGGAGGCGGAGGCCAAACCCCCTCTGTCTCCCACTTGAAGGTGGCCAACTCTGGTACCACCTAATTCTCTCTGGCAGCAATTCTTTCCATTGGGCCAGAACTCAGGGGTGCGGGGAAGTTTTGGGGTTGAATTGGCCGGCCTGTTTGAAGGGTTGTGGGAGTTCACAGACCTGCCTCAGATCCCGGTTGCTAATTGCTTTCCAAATAAAAGCTAAGCAAACAATGTGAGATGTGGGAAATGAATGAAAAGGGGGCGGGAGAGAAGGAGTGGGAGTAAGGCAGGGCAGGGTAGGATTGTGACAGCCCAGACTGCCCCTCCAGCACTGGTGTTTTCTTCTAATTAGCTCCGTAACTAGCCAGAGGAGAGGTGCCTCTCTGACCAGGGTTCCTGGTGGATAATTACCTCAGTTCATTCGGGAAGGGGCTGGGGAGAGAGTTGAACTGTCTGTCGGGATTTTCCAAACCTACCCATTCTCGACTCATTTAAGGAAGGGAAAAATGTGCTAATGGAGCTATTTCTGCCACAGAGCAGGCCAGTTTGGTACCCAAGTGACAAACTTCATTTTAACGAGAGGTAAATGGGTTCAGCAGCTGTGGGAGTGTCAGGGTGGCAGCTACTGAACCCATTACGGGGACACTGCTCCTGTAGGAGCTCATTGGGGAGGGACAGGATGCAGTGCCGAGGAAGACTGCCCTCCGGGGGCATGGCCCTGAGTTCTGCAGATTTCCCCAGACCCATATGGATCTTGGAATGTACGTTCTTCGGGCAGGGACTGTCTCTTTGTTCTGTGTTTGCACGGTAGCAAGTACATTGTAGCCTCCAGGAGCTACTGCAGGGCAGATGAGGAAAAGTATGTGGGGGTTGTACAGGATTCGGGGCCCCTATGGTTTAGGGATGACACTGGTGGTCCAAACCAAGGAGCTAATCCTGGTTCTAACACTGACTTTTGTGTGGCATTGGCCATGTCGCTTAACTTCTCTGAGCCTCCATTTCCTTGCCTGGAAATGGGGCTAATCACATTTTCCTCCTACACAGTGTATGCAAGGTGGTGTATGTGTGCAAAGTATAACTGAGGCCGGTCGACAGCAGAGCTGGGACTAAAACTGGGCTAGCAGCCTTTGTCCCTGTGCACAAGATACTTGTGCCCTACAGGTGTGAATTTTCCCCAGCAGCCAGGAAACAACAGAATATTTTGTACAATGTGTAGTGTTTTTAATATGCTGAGTATATCTCCCACTCATGGTCCTAACCCTGCAACCCATCGCTGTATATGCTGTTCCTACCAAGATGCCTTCGGGGAGGCTGCGCATCCATTTGCAATTAGCAAGGAGGAGTTTTTAACTGCAGTATAAAAAGAACAGACCTGCTTGGTCCCTTGAGTCAGAATTCTCCTGCATTCAGCTGTCGGAGGAGGAGCTTGGGGGGAAAGAAGGCCTTTGAGCGCAGTGTGCAAACCTCACCGATGGCCATGGGAGCTGTGTGACAGCAGTTAGTGCCACTAGAGCCCATAGCTCCAAGAGATCACATAGGCCCAGAGAGACATGCCTATAGCAAAGAGGCAGTGCGCCAGCTCCTTAAATTCCTGGGATGCTACCTGCTACGCAGCTGTCGGAGGATTACCCCAGACAGGTTGCAAAGCCCCACACCACCCTCAATGGGCTCACAGGTGACTGCCTTGGGGGTGACTCCGGATACCCCCATTTTAGTGATGGGGAAACCGAGGCAGAGAGTGGCAGCTACTGGCTGAGGGCCCAGCCCTGCAGGGAGCAGTGCAGAAGTAAGTGTGGCAATGTGACTTGCCATAGGCTAGTGAGTCATTGGCAGAGTGGCCAGTACAACCCAGGAATCCTGACTCTCAGGTCCCTGCTCTAAACACTAGACTCTCCCCTCCCTGGCCCATTCTTAGCAAAGACTCCTTTAAACTTGTTGCCCTCCATTTCCTGACCCTACAAGCCCTCTGCTGCTGACCTAGCCTTGTTAATGCTGCATGGTCCCTGACACTCTCCCTCTCTCTGACCGTGCCCTTCAGGCACAATTGCTTTAGGCCAGTGTAGCATCTGTGCTCTCCTCATACCTCACACAGTGGCTGGGATCTCCTCAGCCACCTCCATCCTCTCTCCCTGTTTCTCTCAAATTTTTAAATGGCTCATCTGATTTTTCGCTGGAAGGGAGATGGCTGCGTGAGTCATGAAGGGGCCTGACAGCTCCCTGTGCCAGAGCGTGCCCGGGCCAGGGGGCCTGCGGGGGCTCTTGGAGCTGACTGCCTGCTCGGATCAGATCAGAGAGGTGGGAGAGGAGCTCAGTCACACCACGCTGGGGTCCCTTTGGAGAGGGGACCAGCAGCCCCCTCCCTTTTATCGCTTTCCCCAGCATCGTTCTGCACAAGGCAAATGTGATGGGGAGTTTGGCAAAGTTCACCCCTGTCTCGTGTGGTTGGCACCCAAGTTCCTGTCAGGAGTTTTGTGTGTGTAGGGGCGGGGGGCATCAGGGTTTCAATGAGGTGAGGCTACCAGAGAGACCCCCAGCAGTAATGGGTTATAAGTAGAGCTGGACAGAAAGGGTCTGATTCAAAGGTCATTGAGGCCAATGGAGGAACCCAAAACAGGAGGGAAGTGTCACCCTCTCCCTGGGGTTTGTGTTGGGGAATCGGAGACGTTAGCGGTGGAGAGGACCTACCGGATCATCCAGCCCAGAGCAAGACCACCCCTTACAAATGGGGCTTCCGCTCCGTCCCTGGAGACACTGCCGTATGGCCTAGTCCATCTCGGCACTGGGGAGCTTGCCTTGGTGTTCAGCCAGCATCTTCCCTTTCCTAATGTCACCCTGTTAATCCCCTTTACAGACCCCTGCACCCAACCCCCAGTGCTAGGTGCCCTTAATTGCCAGGCTCCCAGAATCCCAGCCTTCCTGAGGTCACTGGTTTGGCATGGGGAGCTGTCTAGGGTCTCCACTCTCTGCACAGGGCCAGTGAGGGGACGTGCCTGTCCTGGTGAGCAGGTTTTCCCGATCTGTGCAGTACGGAGACGGGGGAGGGGGATGCAGAGATGGAGGTGGCTAATCAACTCAGGTCTTGATATAGTGGCCATCTCCACGGTATCTGGGCAGGATCTCGTCTGCCTTCCACAGCCCTTCTCTTCTCACTCTCTACACCACATGCTCTGAAATCTACTCACCATTCTCCCCGCAGATCCATTCCCCCTTTAGTGTTCACCTCTCTTTCCTACACCGGTCACTATCCTTTGAAGGGGGAAAGACAGAAAGAACAAGAGAGTGAGAATACCCATCACATCTCCTCTAAACAGAGGAGACAGACCCCCCACTGCACTCCCAACATCCCCTCCCCTGGAGCCCCACCTGCAGTTGGAGGGAGGGAGAAGAGCTGGGCCCAGCTCCCATACCACTGGCATCTCACACACCCTCTCCCTGCCCCTCAGCCTGTGAGGGGAGGGGCCAGTGTGTATGCCTTATGACATTTGGCACTCCACCCATGCCAAGGGACCGGTGCTGGGAGCCGCGCCCCATCAGCAAGAGTATGGCAAGGGTCTGCTCTCAATGTTAGTGCTGCGTGTCAGCCAGAAGCTGCTGGCAGTGTGATTTCACCGAGCCTAGCTGATCTGTTTATATTCACATTGCCCGTGTTTTCTTCTCTGCCCTTTAACAATAGCTGTTTTTACGGGTTCTTCCATGCCCCCTAATTGCTCAGACTTTCCTGTATTTTCTGCTGTAAAGACAGATATAAAAAAAGGGAAGGAGTACTTGTGGCACCTTAGAGACTAACCAATTTATTTGAGCATGAGCTTTCGTGAGCTACAGCTCACTTCATCAGATGTATACCGTGGAAACTGCACTATGCAGTTGATAGATTTCCACTCTATACAGCTAAATGCAGTGCCTTGCATAATGACAGGTTTCAGAGGAACAGCCGTGTTAGTCTGTATTCGCAAAAAGAAAAGGAGTACTTGTGGCACCTTAGAGACTAACCAATTTATTTGAGCATGAGCTTTTGTGAGCTACAGCTCACTTCATCAGATGTATACCGTGCCGATCATCTCAGCTATTGCTTGTATCATCTTTAATTTCACCCCGCTTCTCCTCTCGCTCGTAGACCTACTTTATCTTCCATGCTTTGCTTTCCCAGACTGTATTTATAAATGCCCTACTTGCTATTACCCAGAGCCGGGTCTAGCATTACCTCATTCTTCTCGTTCCCTTCCACGCTGTGTGTTCTTGTATGGTGCCATCTCACTTCTCTCATTTCTGTAGCTGGAGTTTAAACTAGAGCTGTGGGAAAGTTTTCCCATCAATAGTTTATTTGCCCCCAAAAAACCTGCTCTTTCAGTCAACCCGAAAGGATTGGCAAATTCCTGTCAAGTTCGCCAAATAGTTTTGGCCAAACCAAGAAATCCAAATGTTCAGAACAGTCAAAAGGAAATGTTGTGTTTTGACCGAGCTCAAAATTTTTTGTTTCCATTTCAGGCATTTTGACCAAAGCAATGGAGGATTAGATTCACACAGTACCTGGGAAAGAGTTGGAGGCCTCCCTTTTACAAATCTTTGCCTCATGGTTAAGGTACTCACCCGGGATCTGGAATCCCGGGGGGTCAATTGTCCCTTCTGCCTGAAGAGGAGGGATTTGAACATGGGTTTCCTACTGCTCAGGTGAGTGGCCTAACCATCGAGCTATGAGTCCCTGCCAAATTTGTGGTCCATTTTGGTCAATTTCACAGTCATAGGATTTTTAAAATAATAAATTTCATGATTTCAGCTGTTTACATCTGAAATTTCACCGTGTTGTAATTGTAGGGGTCCTGACCCAAAAAGGAGTTGTTGGAGGGGGGAGCGCTGCGGTACTGCTACCCTTACTTCTGCACTGTTGCTGGTGGCTGCCTTCAGAGCTGGGCAGCTGGAGAGCGGTGGCTACTGGCCGGGAGCCCAGCTCTGAACGCACAGCCACCATCAGCAGCAGTGCAGAAGTAAGGATGGCATGTTATAGTATTGCCATGCTTACTTCTGCACTGCTCCCTGCAGGGCTGGGCCCTCAGCTAGTAGCTGCCACTCTCTGGCCGCCCAGCTCTGAAGGCAGCAGCGCAGAAGTAAGGGTGGCCTGGTAAGGTGCTGCCACCCTTAGTTCTGTGCTGCTGCTGGTGAGGCGCGGCCTTCAGAGCTGGGCCAAGAGCTGCCGCTTTCTGGCTGCCCAGCTCTGCAATCAGTGCAGAAGTAAGGGTGGCAATACTGTGGACCACCCTGTCCAATAACCTTGTGACCACCCCCCCAGCAACTCCCTTTTGGGTCAGGACCCCCAATTTGAGAAATGCTGGTCTCCTCCCCCGTGAAATCTGTATAGCGTAGGGTAAAAGCACAGAAAAGACCAGATTTTACAATGGGAGACCAGATTTCGTGGGCCATGCTGTGTTTTTCATGGCTGTGAATTGGTAGGGCCCTAGCTATGAGAGATTCCATTGTGGAGCTCCCTCGGTCTGTCCTGTTGAATCTGTTCCACTGTGTATAAATAATTCGATAGTTACTGGAGCAGGGACTAAAGTTGGGTCTCCTATGTTCTAGGGCAGTGGTTCTGAACTAGAGGTATGCAACCCCTGGAGGTACGCAGAGGTCTTCCACGGGGTACATCAACTCCTCTAGATATTTGCCTAGTTTCACAACAGGCTACATAAAAAGCACTAGTGAAGTCAGTACAAACTAAAATTTCATACAGACAATGACTTGTTTATACCGCTCTATCTACTGTACACTGAAATGTAAGTACAATATTTATATTCCAATTGATTTATTTTATAATTATATGGGTAAAAATGAGAAAGGAAGCAATTTTTCAGTAATAATGTGCTGTGAGACTTTTGTAAGTTTATGTTTGATTTTGAAAGCAAATAGGTTTTTAAGAATATAAGAACAGCCATACTTGGTCAAACCAATGGTCCATCTAGCCCAGTATCTTATCTTCTGACAGTGACCAATGCCAGGTTCCCCAGAGGGAATGAACAGAACAGGTCATCCTCAAGTGATCTATCCCCGGTCGCCCATGCCCAGCTTCTGGCAAACAGTGAAGTGAGGTGTGACTTGGGGGTACATAAGACAAATCAGACTCCTGAAAGGGGTACAGTAGTCTGGAAAGGTTGAGAGCCTCTGTCCTAGGTCAGTCCCCTGACCACCAGACTACACAGTCATTCTCATCCTCTTTCCCTGGTCCAATGACTGACTACCCACTGTCATGAGTGACAATACAGGTATATAGACCAAGCCTTCGTGTAGGGCAGAGAGAGCTCTGGGGTCAGGCATTCAGAGTTTGCCCCACCCAAAGAGGGGACCATTGCCACACTCCTTAGCACCGGAGAGCCCTCTGCCCCACACTGAGAGGGGACTGAGGGAGCTCTGGGGTTAGGGCTTTGAAGGAACACTGGGCACAGGGAGCTGCTGCTGAGAGTGTGGCTAGGATGTAGCATTGGTGTTTGAGGAGCAGTTGGCAGAATACAGACACTGGACCAGGGCCAGCGCTGGAGTGCCGATGTGCAGGCTGTTGTCACAGCATCTGGGTGAAGGATCAGGTGCAATTAGGAGAGATTTGCAAGTTGAGAGAGGGTTATTTTCCCATTTACCCTGGAGATAATCTTCCTCTCGAGCCAATCGAAGTGGCACGGTGAGAGGACCCTTGTGCGGGGCTCCGGACTGCCGGCAATCAGGCAGCACTCCAAGCACTTAACGTGGTTTTAGAAATAAAAATGAGACGAAGCCGCTGTGCATTGTGTAGAAGGGTCACGTTTTGTGAGCAGCCCATGGCTCTGTGTGAGCCTCCGGGGCCTCTGCCTATTGATTTTAGCTGCCCGTGGAATGATGAGGCCCTTTGGTTGGGGCTCCAGGGCACATGAGAGACTGAGCCAAAGCATAGCCCCATGGTCTGCTCCTTTGTCTGAGCCCAGAGAGGGCTTGGGTGCCCAACAAATGTGGTTTGGTACAATTATTACCCATCCCCCAGGTGTGCCCTGGCAGAAAGGACAGAAAGAAATCTGCCGTGACTCCCAGATGCGCCCCCGCCTCCCCCTCCAGTGCCTCATGTGAGAAGGTGCAAATGGGAAACCTGCCCCTGGCAGAAGTAAAGGTTGTGGGGAGAGCCTCCCGTTCCTGCTGCTGGATACACTGCGATTCCACCCTGCCTGCTGGCTCAACACCTCTGGAGCCTGAAGGCCTTTGTTTCCCCACTGAGCGGGTGCAGCCCAGGTTCCACCCCTGCAAGCTGCCCACCCCCATCCTGATCCTGAGGGACCACCTCTAAGGATTACAGGGGTCTCCATGCTCAGTTCCATTCTTGGCCCCTCTGCTGAGCTTGTCGACAAGGACACCGCAGGGCTGTGCGTGAGGTGAATGCTTGTTCACAAAAGCCTGGGCTGAGACCACTTCAGCGAGGAGCCACCAGTTGTCAGGGACTTGCATTCACGACTGACCCAAGGCGATTCGGAATGGATGACCCAAGCTGCCAGTGCGGGGGCTGATGTCTGCATGGCATCAGGATCTTTAATCGCTGAGTTGCCTAATTCTAGATGAAACAAGGGTAGGAAAGCAAGCAGTTGCCTTAGCTCCATGGACACTAGCGCTCCCCGTTGTTAGTGGCCATGCAATGGTGAGAGAGTCCCTGCAAAAGCTCATCCTTCTTTATAGATCCCTTACTCCTCTCTTCTCTTGGTGGATTAAAAATCCTCACAGGGGATCAGGTAAATCTTCCATCAGTAAATGACATGTCCTGTCTTTAAACCCTCTCTAGGACAGCAGTGAACCCAAGTGGCTTCTTTCTTCCAGTGACAGGAGGTCTCCTTCATTAGCATGGCTTCCTCACACCATTCCTAATAACAGGGAGTTCTCGGTATCTTTCCAGTTTGCTTTTTACTGAGCTGCATCTTTTTGTTTCAAGGTTTGTGGGTTGACCTAGATACAACAGAGAGACATTTGGGGCTCAGCTTCTGTTTCCACCCCCAGGTATGAAGAAAGCTACTTCTTTACATCCAGAGTGGCTGGATCTGGTTTAGTGTTTACATCCACAGTGAAAAGGTTGCTTGTCGTTCATGTTTGTGTTCAATACACAGCCAGCTCCGCTGCAAAGGGTGCTGTATGCATTCATGCACTGTATTATTATCGAGAATGGACTTCAAACCATTAAGACTTCTCAGGAGCATGGACTATTAGGGTCTCTGCTCGGTGGGCATTAATTTCAGTACATGGGTGTGTTTGCTCCCAGATGCTGTTCTGCAGGGATGTGACTAGAATAAATTAACATGCAGCAAATTTCTGCTTCTTCTCTCTTCCCCACTGTCCCTCCACTGCCCTTTAAAGAGATTCAGGTCATTCCTGGAATTAGGGCTTCCTAAAACTGCCGGGGAGTAGTGTTTAAACTGCTTACAATTGATTAAGCAAAGTGTATGTTTTCCGAGGCTTTAGATAGGTGGCCATGGTGCGGTGCGTTAAACCCCAATAAATACATTCTCCATAATGGGATGGTCTCTCACATGTGTATTTGAGTCTGAGGGAAAGCAGGGGAGGCGTTTTGGGGAGTGTCCAGGTTTATTTCCTGGAAGTAGCCGACTGCTCTCGACAGAGAGACCTTGCAGGAAGGCATTTTACTTAGCTGGCTTCGTTTATTGTGGGACTCCAGCTGGGATTAGACACAGTTAAGATGATAGATAAATCCTCCTCTTGGCTGAGAGATGCTATGAATTTTTCAGGGAAGGGTGTGTGTGTGTATAAAGCCTGTGGAGTTCATGGAAACAGTGTGTGTCCATCCCATGTGTGCCCCCCCCCCCGCCCCATACATACACTTCCTTTTTCTTCCCCTCCATAACAGCCAACGCTTGTAGACAGAGATTGCCAGCCAGAGCCCCCTCCAGCTGGCAAACTTGAAATCAAGCGGCTGGTTTATAACAAAACATCTGTACATGTTAGAAAAGACAAGAAACCCCGCGCTGCTGCTGCCTGCACTGCTGTGTCTGATTATGGCTCTACCACGGGGGAAAGTAGGTCACTCTGTTCTGCAGAGCCGAGTGAGTATGCAAAATCAATGCTCCTCATGGACTTCCCCCTCCAGACCTCGGAGCCAACTGTATCCTCCTTGGTTCCAACCCCTGCCCCACCGGACCTCCCCCAGGCCCTTTACCCCATGGGAGAAGGACATATCCTGCAGGGCAGCTGGGGCTGGCTAAGAGAGGTGGAAGGGAATAAGTTGCAAATCTATTAGATAGAATGCTCTGGTGTCTTGGTGCTTTCGTTCTGTAGGATCTGAGCTCCTCCCGCAATGGGCCATGCTCCGCTATGTCCCACCAGTTACTCTATTGATGTCAGTAGAGTGTCAGCCTGGTGCAAGAGAAGGAGCAAAACCCAGGCACACACAGAGCCAGCAGGAGGTTTAATAAAGAGAGGTGGGGGAGGAGACATCATGGAAGGGACGGGGCAGGTGGGAAGAGGTGCTGGTGTGGGGGAAGGGCTCCCTGGTTGTCTGACTGTCCAGGGAGCAGTTTAGTGCTCACAAATTTAGGTGCAAGGAGGCATGGCATGGATGAAGGTGCATGTGTGAGATTCTATGGCTCAGCAGGCGGGCGACCTGAAGAACCTTTGGGGAAGTTTCTCAGAGGAATTACACCAAGTCTAAACATCTCATAAAC